TTTAGGGGTTTTAGGGTTTTCAGGGTAAGGCCCCCGAGCCAAACACCCCAACCCTGAACCCGCTGTGCAATCCTGACACCCTAAACCCTAAACCCTAAACCCCTAAACCCTAAACCCCTAAACCCTAAACCCTAAACCCTAAACCCTAAACTGACACCCGAAGTTGCAGCCCTGCACCCCTCACGTGCGCCTTGGCAGCTTCGTCGAGGACTGGGACATGGAGGTTGGAGCATTGCTAAAAAACTAGGTTATGGTTTAGGGTTTAGGGTTTAGGGTGTAGGGTTTAGGGTTTAGGGTTTAGGGTTTTAGGGTTTTGGGTTTAAGGTTTAGGGGTTAGGGTTTAGGGGTTTAGGATTTAGGGTCCCAGTAACCTAGGAATAAAAGGCTAGGTTCCCCAGTAGGCCCCAAATAATAAGGGTACCCTTTTTCCTAGTACTTGGTTTTATAAAGGGAACCTAAACAGAAAAAGTGCAAAAGGGTACTACTGGTGGACCTAGAAAATGGAAAAATATAGCGACCTTGACAATTTGAATGGGGTTTGGGGGTATATCGTAGTATCACAGACGTAGTAACGAGCCTTGGGGAATGATGTTGATAATGACCTAAGTGCTTCGGCTAAAAAAGATGTATGCTCTTCGTTGTTGGCAAAAATCTTCATAAACGAACCAGCTCAGGAGGCAAAGATTGCTTGCTCAGCAGGACTGTGTTTTAACGTATCGTTCTACCACACGTATGCATAGGCCAACATACAGGCAGCTAGATAGATAGCTGATCTCGGTAATTCTCCAAAACAGGGTACCATTTTGTAAAAAGCCCCTATGGAGGTATGCGTCTTATACAGTAAAGCCTTGCAGCACCATGAAGAAATCTTTACTAACTGAGAATACACCATGCATGAAGAATCCTGATAAAGCCCTTATCATGAACCCTTCAATATACCACAACACCCAATTGCAATCATTAAGGCCCTTCTATTGTAGAGCCCTTATCGTAACCCTTATAGTCCACTTTGCGTGAGGCTTTAAAGGCTAAGCCCTAAACCCCAAACCCTAAACCCCTGAACCCTAAACTCTAAACTCCGAAACCCTAAAACCTAAACCCAAACCCTAAACCCTGAACTCTTAAACCCAAACCGCAAACTCTAAACTCCGAAACCCTAAACCCCAAACCCTAAGCCCCTAAACCCTAAACGCCGAAACTCGCGGCCGGCCTTCCGTCGACGGCTCCTGGTGCACGCGCGCGGCCGGGACGAAGCTCGCTGCTTCGTTTGGTGCCCGGCCGAGGCGCCTCTCTCAGTGTCTTCGTTGTGTGTGTGTACTACATGCAAAAAAAACATATATATATATATATATATTTTAATTATTTATTTATATGTTTATATATATATATATATACACAATATATATATATATATACAGAAAGGCGTCTCCAGAAATGTATATAATATACATATATATATATATATATATGTATTGTATATATATATATGTATATTGTATAACTGTATATATATATATATACAGATGCGTGTGTATGTAGGTGTATATATACATGATAAGTGTATGTATATCTGCATATGGATATATATATATATATATACATATATACGTATGTGCATATATATATATATATATTTGTATGTACCTGTACATGTGGAAACAAACAAAAAAAGATATGCACACTACGTGAATATATGTGTATATATACATACACATATGTACGCATTGTGTTGTATCTGCTGGCAGACATACATACATGCATGCGAATATGCATATGTTGTGCACACCTGCGTGCACATATGTATATGTGCACATATATATATATATATATATGTACATACCCGCACATCCATTTGTATTAGTTCTGGTCTTTGAAGATGTGTGTTCACTTTTATGGTTCCAGACATGTGGGTGTTTTTTCTGTGTGTGTGTGTGTCCGTGCGTGTGTGAGTACATGTGAAAGAAAATGAATCAATAAAGGTGTGGATGTGTGTATATATATATACACATACACACACATATATATATATATTACATATACATGTGTATATATATATATATATAGGTATATATATATATATATTCATACTCTCACCGAGAGAACAAAAGAAACACGACAGATGTAGATGCCGGTATCGATACAGGTGTCGTCATGCATGTACAGCTGTTGTACTTCATGTTTATTATATCAACCTTCACCATATTCCTCGTAGGGTTTTGCTGTGCGTGGTGTTGAAGAATGGGTGTTGAGGGGTGTTTTGAAGGTTCACTACACAATACTGGTTTCATGTGGGTTTATAGCGATTTTGATTTGATATCTTCAACCGAGAGTAAGAGCCCTAAAGCCTAAACCCTAAACCGCTAAACCCTAAACCCTAAACCCCTAAACCCCCAACCCCTAAACCCTAAACTCTGAAACCCCCAGCCCTTGGAGGAAAGCATTCCTAGGCTCCCCAGTAGCCAGCAATAAGGGCACCCTTTTTCCTGTTATTCGTCTTTTGATAAGGGAGCCAAAAAAGAAAAAAGGGTTTAAGGTTTATAGGGTTTAGGGTTTAGGGCTTAGGGTTTAGGGTTTAGAGTTAGGTTTCGGGTTTAGGGTTTAGGGTGTAGGGTGTAGGGTTTAGGGTTTAGGGGGCAAAAGGGTACTACTGTGGATCCTGGGTTCTGGCCATGTCCCAGCATCCCACCAGTCCTTTGCGGACAGCATTCTGGCCATGCTTCTGGTTTAGGGTTTAGGGTTTAGGGAGCCCGCTAGTACTTCAGGGAAGCACTTTAGCCGTTCTCCTGAATCCTGCTGGTGCTTGCGGGAAGCCGCCAGTGTTTGAGTGCGAGCATTTCGGAAACGTCCTGGTGGTCTCGTGGTGGTCTGGTGGTGGTCCCTGCCTGGTGGTATCCTGGTGTTCTCCAGGTGGTTTTGTGGTGTCATGGTGTCTCCTCGTGCTCTCCCGGTTATGGAACGGTCGTCGTGGTGCTGTTTCACTGCTTGAAATCTACGCTGGCGCATTCTGTTCAAACCCTGAACCCTACAGCCTAAACCCTGATCCCCACTCCCTAAACCCTAAACCCGGTAAGGCCCAACCCCTGATCCCTAAGCCAGAAACCCTAAAACCCTAAACCCTAAACCCTAAACCCTCAACCCTAAACCCTAAACCCTCAACCCTAAACTGAAGCCTCCCACACCACAATAAACAGCCTCAGCTCGGAGTAGGCCCAGCTTTCGTCGAACTTGCTGCTCATCTCCTTGGCTTCAGCCGTTTAGGGGTTTAGGGCTTATAGGGTTTAGGGCTTATAGGGTTTGGGGCTTATAGGGATTAGGGTTTAGGGTTTATAGGGTTTAGGATTTAGGGTGTAGGGTGTAGGGTCTAGGGTTTAGGGTTCAGGGCTTAAGGGTTCTGGGTTTAAGGTACTCTGAATCGGCTTACCCTAAGGCACCCTCAGACTTACAAACCCAAGTCCCTGCAGCCCCTAAAACTCCTAAACCCTAAACCCTGAACCCTAAACCCTCAACCCTAAACCCTAAAATCCTAAATCCTAAACGCTAAACCCTAATCCCTAAACCGTGGCTCTGCTTTCCCAGCTGCGAAACCAAACTCAAAGTCAGGGTTCAGGTTTATTTTTTAATTAGGGTTTAGGGTTTAGGATTTAGGGATTTAGGGTTTAGGGTTTAGGGTTTTAGGGTTTAGGGTTTAGGGTGTAGTGCTCTTGGGCCGGGGACAAATATACATGAGATGTTCGGTACAGTTTTGGCGTGGAGAAAGGCTTTTGTAATGTGTTTAGGGTTTAGGTGATTTAGGGCTCTTAACCCTAGACCCTAAACCCTAAATCGTAATTGAAGGCATCTGCTGGAAAGGTTTAGGTGGCTTTATAGACTTGAGAGATATCACGGGACATAGTATTAGGGTTTCGAGTCCATTTAGGGTTTGCACGGGTAACGTCAAAATGAAGTACTTGTAAGCCGTCAGTATAAACTCGCAACTGGTAACTGGGTTGACCGATACCTGACCATCTCATAGCATGACACACCTCAACCCCCTCTTGGGTTCGTGTTTAGGCTTCAGGGTCTTCTGAAAATATCCGGAGTCTTAGCCAACTGGAATCCATGAGGGTTGCACTTCCGTAATGGTGGTTCTAATTTCTACAAGTTGGCTTACAAGAGCTTGCAATCCTAGCAACATGTATACGAATGATTCTTGCCTTTGTGCCTGAGTCCGTACGTGGTACCTGCCGCGGACCGTTTAGAGTGCTGGGTTTAACCTGAACGCCCCGGCCTTAACCTTACAATCCTGAAACCAGCACCACCTTAAATCCTGAGCCCTAAACAGTATGAGGGAAAACAGTAGGTCTTTGCAAAATGCCGATACGCTAAAGCCCTGAATAAAGTCTTGGTGTGGGCCCTTTGGGTGTGTCATTTATGTCGCGTTTAAGGTTTAGGATTGTGCTGTGTATCTTGGGACTACCTGCAGCCCAAAAGACATACCTTGTAATTGCTGCAGAAACCCCTAAACCCTAAACCCTAATCCTTAAACCCTAAACCCTAAATCCTGAACCCTAAACCCTAAACCCTGACCTCTGAACCCTAAACCCTGATAAGGAATCCTAGAAAGGGTAGGGCTTGGCTTGGGGTTTAGGGCTTTAGGTTGATTCAAGGTTTGGAGCACCGGAGCTGGCGAGAGGTGCTGCCACAAAATGAGTTTAGGGTTTAGGATTTAGGGGGCCCATTAGGGGTACATATAGGGTATATAGAAGGTGTATAAGGGTCCCATGGCTAGGGGCCCATACTAGGGGCCCATGGTTTCAACCTTGGAATGAGGGTTTAGGGTTCAGGGTTTGAATGCCAAATTGTCGACTGCAATGGACAAATCACCAAGTTCAAAGTGGCTAGACCGACTTAACGCTGAGTCCTAAACATCTCGGCACGCTCAGAAACGTAAGCCCTAACAGCAAAACCGCAAACTCGAAAGCTCGCAGAAGTAAACGATTGAAATTACGAAGCCCTGTGACCAACATGCTCTGCCGGCTGCACAGATGAAGGACTCGCTGTGTTGCCTGAGATGGCTTCCCACAAGGCTTCGTAATTATACTGGGCTTAGGGTTTACCCCTAAACCCTAAACCCCAAGTTAGGGATCCTCTTCAAAGGACCTGGAAACTTAGCAATTAAACACGGTTGTAAGTACCTGCAGTAATCATTAGATAGGGTTTTGGGGCATACTTTTCTGTAGTTATATCATAAGGAACCCTAAGAACTAGTATTGTGAGTTATTTAGGCTTAAAAATTAGCCAGAAAACCCTGTACCCATTAGCACGACATGTCTTGGATCTCCTGGTGCACTAAGTAAAGGTACCCAAAAAGGTTCCTGGCCCTAAACCCTACACCCTAAACCTTAAAAGGTCATAAGTCACTTAAAACTGGGAATTATAACCCTACTTACTAAGTTCCTAAACCCTAAACCCTAAACCCTAAACCCTAAACCCTAAACCCTAAAGAGCTTCGGGATTCTGGATTCCACGGCTCGTGGGGGTTGGGTTTCAGGACTCGAGGCCTGGAGGTTTAGGGTTTAGGGTTCAGGGTTTAGGGTTTAGGGTTTAGGGGTTTAAGGGTTTTTTTTTTAAGTGTAGTGGCCTTTTCCGTCTGAGCAAGCCTGCCTCCGAAGAGGCTTACACTGTGTGGGTCCACACCCAAAGGATGTAGACGGAAAAGGGTTTCCTGAAAGGCACTTACCGCCAATTGGTCCCCCAACAGCAACCTTTGCAGACACTCAGAGAGCACTTGCGAAGCAAAGAGCCCTACACAAGGGTTTAGGGTTTAGGGTTTAGTAAGGGGTTCGGAACGTCTTGGATATGTACTTTGGCGGGGGAAGTTGCTTCAAAACTTGAGATTGACATTTCAAGGTGCATGTTTTTGGGCTTTAGGGGTTAGGGGTGCAGGGGTTACTTTTTGAATCACTCTGCATGCATCGGCACGAATTCGGTGCACTCTGACAGCAGGTTCGCTGCCGTATTTCAACGCGACGATCCTGTTCTGAAGGGAAGACGAATGCCAATGCTGTTTCCCCACAGGCTGAAATCGAAAATATCCTAATTCACTCGAAGAAGCAGTGCCACAAGATTTGTGCCAAGCCCCTCCTATGTCCTAAACGCTGAACCCAACTCCGCTTAAGCGAAAGTCTAACAACGACTGGGTCTTTTTAGCCTTATTAGCCCTAAGCCCTAAACCCCGCACGAGTTATATTCTTTGTGGTTGAATAGACTTAAGACCTATATAGAGTCGAGTTAAGCACAGCCTCGTTATTTGACAAAACTTATATCACATCTGTAAGTAATATTACGATTATGACAGATAACCGTTGTTATTGTCATTGTTGGCATTCGTAGAGAAAGTTATCTTCTCGAATACTTTATGGCTACTGCTCCTACCACTGCTGCTCCTACGACGACTACGACTACGACTACGACTACGACTGCGACTACGACTACGAATACTACGACTACGACTACGGCTACGACTACCACTATCACCACCCCATAGTCATGGTCATCGCAATGATGC